GACAGACAGGTGCTGCTGCCAGAGCAGCCTCCCCTGTCCACAGCACAGCAGGGATGGTCCTAGGGGAAACCAGCTTTTAAGCTGGCTCCCCCCAGCACCAGCTCCTGTTCTTCTCCCCACCCGCTGCCTCTCCTACAGAGGCAGCAAGAGAGGGTGTGGGGGGAAAGCAAGTAGTCAAGTACTCTTCTCGACTACCTGATAAGTTTATGCTTATTGGGTAGTCAAGTAGTCAACTACTTGCTTACATCCCTATTCTGCTCTCCTTATCTTGGGGATTTTTACAGGGCCTTTTCCCAGCTGCTGATGCCTACCATGGCCTTCCTCTGAGAATCATATGACTAATTCTTTCTGTGCTAGGTGAGGATTTTTCCATTGCTGGACCTGCTGCTGACCTGCGAGTTTGTTTCTTGACTTTTTTCAGAGCCCTCCACCAACTACTTTTCTACCCACAGTGTGTAACTTTTTCCTGTTTGTTTCCTTTCCATTCTCTTAAAATAGTCTGTCTTCATCCCTGACTTCTTTTCCTCCTCCTTCTCCTAACTTTGAACATGGCCACCCATGTTTTTTAGAGTGAAGGAGGGCACTGACTTATTATGTCCCCACTGAGTGTGCCTACATTTGAACCACAAATGTGCTTGAGCCTGCACATTAAAACTGCTAAATATTTAGAAAATACTTTAGAGAGGAAATCTTGAACATGACTTGTATGATATTCGCCAGCATGTATCCATATACAGATTCTTCCTTTTGTCCTTAATGTGTGGGGTTTTTTTTTCTTTTAGGTCTAGTTTCTCATTTTTTTTCAGGGTCAAAGGGAAGTAACTCCTCAGAACTTAATAGAATTATGCCTGTGTTTGGTCAAAGTAGAATCAGCCCAGTGATTTGACCTTTTTCTTTGTTTGGACTAGGGATGTTAAATATCGGTTAATTGACTGGTTGCTTAACCTCATGAATTCTTATCAGTTAATCAACTATTAAGTAGTCCCTGGGGGTGGGGCCAGCAGCCAGTGTGCTCCAGCCCCACTCCCGGGGAGCCACCCACACTGCTGCTACTTTACCAGAGGCAACATCATGGGATACCAGGTGGGAGCTGGTCCATGAGGGGAGCCAGTTTAAAAACCAGCTCCCGTTGTGGACTGTCTGCCTGCCATCCTGCACTGCAGCAATCCCTGTCCAGCAGTAGGGTCTGAGCTCTCAGACCCAGCTCACGCAAGGATGCCTGCCTGCCTGGTTCCTAATAAACTTTAAATGCAGATCTGCAGTGGGGGTAGGTCCCAGACCCAGTGCAAGCCAGGACTGAGCCATGCTGCTAGCCAGCCTGCTAAAAAAATTACTGCCGGGGGGTGGGGAAATGCATGTATTTTATAGCATTAACCTATAAGCTTTTGCTTATCGGTTAATCAACTAGACAATTACATCCCTAGTTTGGACGGGGAATCAGGTGGAGTTGAGATAACTTAGACTTAAGAACTTTCTGATATTGTGAAAATATATCTTTAATAGGAGCGCCTCAATGAATTTAATGACCGGAGTCTTTCTGTTGTGGCAACCACCTTATCAACCATGGAACCAAGCAGCAATGTGGATGCTCTTCAAGCTGGATTACAGTGAGAACAATTACTTTTTGATGGTTTCCTTATTTATAAATCTTGTCATGTGAAAATCTATTTCTATTGGAGGAAAATAAAACGGCATGAACGGAGAGTGACCATGCTTACTCTTTTGCCCAAAGTACACTTTGATATTTTCTGACTTATATTTTTGGCATTTTCATGGGGTTGGTTTAATGATATATTACATTAGACCATCTTAGTGGTTGCTGACATGTAAAATATAGTAGAAATGTCCAAAGCAAGAAGCCACTCAAGCCTTTAAGTAATTTTATGCTGTCTTAAACTATCAAGGACACTTTGTGGTGACCATGGCTCTAATCCTACATTGAACTCTGTGGGGCAGTTCTGTGCAGGATCCACCCTGAGACGCTCATTGCAGAATTGGGGCCTACATAATTATCATCAGATAGTAGCTGAAACAAATAGCTCTGTTTTGCACCTTTGTTGGCATTCTCAGCAGAAAGGGAGGAGTATCGCTTGTTCTCCTTTCCATTTGCCCCGTTTTGCTGTGTCCTGTACAAATCTCCCCTGAATTTCGGGTCACTGAGGGCTTGTCTCCACAGACAGATTGCACTGTAATAAGTTACATCAGTTTAGTTAAACTGATACCTCTGTTACCCTGCAGAATGTTCTCTCTGTTGCACTTGCATTGGTTTATGTTGCAAGTTACAGCATAGTGTCCCCACAGCAGTGTTCTGCATCAGGGTGCGTGGTGCATTGCAGGCAAGCATTCCAGTTTCCTCCACTTGTCAGTCCCCTCCACTTTTTGGGCAGGGAAGTTGCCACACAGATCACAGTACGCAGGGAAATGTTCTCCTGATGATATCACACACCAGTGCCATTCCTTCAGTGTCCGGAGATGGCCACATTATGATAAAGTCAATTTTACTGAGTCAGAGCAGAATTGCACTTGTTTAATTTAAACAAAAGGGGGGTGGAAGAGAAGTGAGGAACATCAGTTTAACTCAGAGTATGTCTGGGAGACGCATGTGCACCTGCTCCCTCTGTACTAGCGCAACTCGTGTATGTAGGCCAAGCTTCCTTAAACCAATTCCATTTTTCTTTATCAGGTTACTGGTAGAGCAACGAATTCCAAAGATCAGTAACATTTTTATGTTGCAAAGCATAATGAAATGCATTGGAAAAGATGCCCCACTTTCTCTCAAAAGGAAATTTGAGGTAAAAAATGAAAATCATTGGTGCTGCCTACTGTTATTCCTACATAGCTGCTACTTGTGTTTTGCTATTTATTAGCTGCTCATGGCCCATTCCTAACAGAATGGGATTCTTATAATCTTTTCTAAATCCAATGAAAGGAACTGGGATTGATATAGTATTTAGAAAAAACATCAAAACAATGTATTTATTATTAATACATTTCTTCATTGCCTTTTATATGTCTTTGAGACTGTATGGGTGAAACTATATTTTAAGGGCTGGTGAAACTGAAGTTAGTGGGTCTGATTTTTGCTCTTGGTGTTAATTCTAACCCAGCAAATGGTTCCTGATTTATGCTGGCTTAAGATGCACCAGAAGTGGGCCCACTAACTTTAGATTCACTAGGGTGTTTTTTTTAAATCTTGTTTAATTTAGTTTACATCTGTCAAAGATGTATCACAAAGGGCAATAGAAAATAGTTGTTTACTAATCATTTAGAATAAAGTAACGCTCGTGCACACAGCAAGGATCATCTATCATCCTTACTGTCCAATGTCATTAAATATGCCATCCATGCTAAGTAGCAATCCACCATTCTTTCAGGCATTGGTAGAAAAACAATATACATAGAAACCAGGAATGAGTCCTTTTATATTTTTTTTTAAATTTTATTTAAGAAAGAAACTGGAGCACTTGAGAATTTTAAGGACAGCTCACACTAAACGTCTGATTTGCTGTAGTTGTTTTTATAAGAAAAATTATTGGAAGGAGTTACTTTAAGCTCCTTCCACTGCTTCCAACTTTCCTTCAGTATGAATCTGATGAGGATACAGAGTTGGCATAGAGATCTTCCCAGTTCACTTCATCCTTCAACAGAGATGACTTGAGCTGCCAGTGCCAAGAATGAAGAGTATAATAAAACTGAATTAATTTTAGAATAGAATTTTGAAGGAGCTGGACCACTTGACTTTTCTGAATGCTCAACACATGTTTAGTGCTCTGGCTGCGATGAATCACTGCTCCATTCCAATCTTGGAGGCCTGCAGTAACAAAACCATTGGTGAGTAAAAGTGAATTTTTAAACTTTGCCTCTCCTCTAGTCTGACTCTTCCTAATGAGAAGGTCTTATTCCAATTTCCTTTTAAACTCAGGAAACATGATTGTTTTGTAGTCTAGCGATGCAAATCCACCAGACAAAATGCAGCACAAAAAATGTGGAGGACTGATGGATGATCAAAGAAAGTAGTTCTTGTGCTCCCTGTCCTCATTAATACTACAAAATATCATCTCTGTGGATTATAATGGCACCCTTCCTAACTCTGTAATAAAAATGTTGCTAGCATTTTCCCTATATATAGAATTTGGAGATGATAAAACTAATGACCAGCAAGAAAAAATAGTGATTTTAGATGTGCTTTAAAAATTGTTTCTGAACTGAACATTTGCATCTTATATTATGAACTGACAACTCTGTGTTTAGGGAGTAAGCAAAAGGGAACATGTTCACTGATTAAGTGGATTTTGTTATTGAGTTCTGTTTAGCAAATGATGGCACAGTCTAGCCCCTAAGGATCTTAAAATGATGGTTAATATTCCAATCTTTACTTAGCCCCTTGCAGTAAGTATTGAGATATATTCTTACATCCAAAACTATGCAGAAATAGTTAATGTTGCAAAGTCAAGCCCTCAAAAGGTAGGAAATATCACAGTTCATGTTAATTTGGTCCCTTTGTCCATACACTTTATGATGCAGTCTTTAATTTCCTGGTAACAAATTAATTTGTCCCATGGGACCTCTGCTTCATTAGTGTTTGGGATGGATGGTTTTCATCGCAAAATATTTTATATTTTGTTCTAGCCTCATTGTTTAGTGTACAGCCATGCACATGATACAAATCCTACTCTGAAGACAGAATTATTAATTTCCCAATTTGCTTTCCTATTACTATAATTTATCACTATAATATCCAGCTTCTTCACAAATAAGGATTTATTTTCACAATACCAAATAGTGAGATGATATCTACATTTTAAATATGCAGAACTGAAGCACATAGAGATAAATGTCTGTGTGTCCACTGATTTTGAGTGCCCAGTTTGAAATACATTGTACATGATCTTGGAGCACTTAGCATTATTTAGCACATTATATGTTTGAAGCACAGCTCCTCTTGATTTAACTTGCAGCTGTGAGTTCTCAGCACTTCTGTAAATCAGATCCCTGGCTCTCTAGTTGGGCACCCAAAAAATGAGGAACACTTGGATTAAGTAATTTGCCCAGCATTATGTTGGATCACTGAGGCAGAGGCAAGGATAGAATCCAGTTCTCCAGGATGACATTCAAGTGGCCTTAACCATGAGACCATGCTTACTATTTTGCAGTCATTCAATGTATGCCTTCCAGCAACTGCAGCAATGAAGGAGAAAGTCCTGCACAACAGCCTCCTTCACTACACAGACCTGATGATCCCCTGATCATGTCCGTCCTGTGCTCTGAATGAGGCATAGGTCTTGTGGAAAAAATAGAATGTGATCATGAAATTGCAGACTACTGCAGTAGGAGACTGAACTAAGGTTATACAGGAAGCCTGGCATTTTCTAACTCTCCTAACGCCCCCCGCCCATGCCCCAGGAGCAGCTGGGCTGCCACCACCAGCTTCCCCAGGGCTGGAGCTGGCAGCAGCTGAAGGTAGGAAGGTGGGGTGGGCCTCAGTGGGCTAATGGCTAAGCCATCAGTGTTCGACTTTGCAACTTTTAATACAAATTGTTTTGAGGTTTGTGTGTGTGAATCCACACGTATAATTTCCTTGGGCTTTAAAAGAAAATTGAAAAAAAAGAAATTCCATCCTGGGTTATCATACTGACACCCATGTAGGCCATCAGCAGGAGTGGAACCTTTAGACAAGTGGCTTGCACAGTCCTGTCGGTCCACAGACGATGCCTAACATTTCCACAAGGAGTCCACAAATGAGAGAGATTGAACACCACTGCTTTAGATCTAGCTCATAGACCTCTGTCTTTAAATCTAAGGGAATAACTTGTAGCAAAAATAGCTGGTGATCTCAGTATGGACCATCACTAGAGAGGGGTCAGACATTTTGCTGTTTGCAAGTGGTTGTGAAATCCCTAGGCAAAGGAATGGTAAAACTCAGGGTTTTTGGGTTCTGTTCCAGGGTCCGGAGGGATGTTCTCTGGTGAGCACAGATTTTTCTGTTCCTCTCAGGCTTCATCCCTTCTGCCCTGTGCCAGTCATGTCTCCTCCCCACCTTTGGCTCCTTGTCCCCATCTTGTTCTTGTCAAATCAGCCTGTCTCCACTCCTCTCAGGGTTCTCATCCTGGTTCCCGTCTCCTTGCCCAGTTATCCCCAATATGCCCTTCTGTGCTCTTAATCAGAGTACCAGTACATATCCCCGAACTTTTCATCCCTGCCTCCTTTGCCCAGCCAGTCCCAGTCTCTTCCAGGGCTCCCCATCTGAATTTTCATATGCCCCTGACGTACATGTAGCTCACATTCATTGTCCCCCCCTTCTCCCTTCTGTTACAGAGAATATCCATGGTATTCCATTTTGGCAGCTAATCCACATTCTAAGATCATGCCGCATCCTCCGGTACCACAATGTAGTTCTGTGTTCAGCAGTAGCAAACTACGTGACTTCAGCCATCTATATGTGGGACACTAAACAGGTGAGATAGTGACCAAGATTTATGGTGATACCACTAGCACTGCCAGTACAACATCAGTGATAGTCTGTACTTCAGTTTGCATTCTGAAATGGACTTAAAATGGGGTGTAAATTTCAGTTTTGCTCTACACATGGGCTGTCTTTTAATGTGAAACTGCACAATACTAGAAAATTCAAATGTCTCTTTCTTGATGCGTATATATACTTAAACAACATTTGTGTACTTATACAAAATGGTTGAAGGGAATTCTTCATTACAACTGGTACACTGGTTGTCATTTTATGTGTATTAGTAACTGTGTATTAGCACTGATGAGCCCACATCAGGACTTGGACCCTTGTGCTCTGTGCTAAACAAAGACAGGATCAAAAGACAGTCCCTGCCCCAGAAAGCTTCCGGTCTAGGTATAAGACAAGAAACAACAGAAAGATACAGACACGCAGATGGAGGATTAGAGAGAAACAATGAGACGATATTAGTTTAAATATTTTAATAAGAGTGAGTTTAACAGCCCATTGTTCTCCTATTTATTGCTGTGTGGTAATAAGTAATACAGTTAGTCATGCTCACAATTGCCAAACGTTTATTTTCATTTTTAAAAATACTTCTGATGCTTTGACACCAAACAGATTAAGTAAATTCCCATATTGAAGTTCTTATTCTAGTTTTAGTTTGTTGGTGGTTAGCCTTAAAAATGTTTCTCTCCCTATGCTTTTTTGTTCTGTTTCGTTTTAGATTGTCCTGTTTTTGTCTGCCTTCGAGGGTGTTCATTTTCGACCTGTCGAGCTGATGGATATTGTGGCTGAGAAGGTGACAAGTCATCCTGAATCCCTGAACCTGAAGGATATTCTGAGTATTCTCCGGGTGTATTCACTTCTCAACCATGTACCCAAAAGGAAAAATCAGGAGTAGGTTCTGGCTTATAATGCCTTGTATTGCATTGCAGAGTTGTTATGTTATGTGGGTGTCTGAACAGGCACCTGCTGCTGATATTGGAATCCAGTTGTGAAATAATTCTCACTGGGTCCTATTTTGCTAATTATGAAATAAACTTACTATATTGATCACTGTTATTTAAAAATATATACATTTTTCCGATCAACAAAGTGATGTAATAGAGAATGAGGGCCCATCACTTAAGCGATACAATGAGCGATAACATTTTAAGCGATAAAATAAGTGAAGTTAGCAGTAGGATGCTGGACTTGAGATCCGGTTATCCAAGTAGATTGGAATGTCAGCGTGGGGTTTTGTTTCAGAAGTACTGATTTATATTTTATGGAGATTTTTAGGAAAGTGAGTTTATTTATAAATTGGTATGTGAAGTTATCTTTTCTTCCTTTGTAGGTTCCGGGAGTCTCTTAATGCTGCCTTGAATAAGTACCTCACCAGGATTTCGAATGTGGATCTGTTGAAGGCAGTGTATTCATTTTGCATGTTAGGGTATCTGCCCCAGGCTGCAATTAGTCAGCTTCTGCAAGAGGATAACCTCAGTGATATACTAACAACAGGTAAGGCATTAATTTTTTCATGTGTGTTATGCCATTGAATGCAGAGTAGAGAAGAGTAGTGGTAGCTCCAACACAATCACTCCATAGAGTATGGTTGCATTGAAGTTCACAAGCTAAGTGGGACAAGACTGGTTAATATTGGGTATGAAATAAGCAACTGAGTTCTGCAAGTTATTGCTACTTGTTTGTGATTCAGGAAATTCTACCCTCAGACTCCACACTGGATCAGTGCCCTCATAATGGCATTGGGAAGTGGTGTGCAGTTGGAGGTATCATTTTCATATAAGACACTTCATTGGTGAGAAAAGTGTTTCCTGTGTAACTGAGTGCATGTATGTGTGAAAGATAGTAAATATATGATTTATTGTAGTGATGTTGAGTAGCGGTTGATTAGTCAATGGGGGGGGCACTGCAGCTCTGCAGTTTAAATGTGGAAGGAGCCAGGCGTGCAGGCTGCCCAGCTCTTACTAGGGATGTAAGTGATCAATTGACTAGTCGACTGTCCAATAAGCAAAAGCTTATTGGATAGTCGACACACTAGTCTCACTCCCACCCTCTCTTGCTGCCTCTATCACAAAAGGGCAGCAAGAGGGTGGAAGAAAAAAGGGTGCTGGCTTAAAAATAAACTAGAGCTGGGGCTTTTGTACATTTCAAAAGTGGAAATCTGCACTAGTCCTTATCGACTAGTCGACGGAAATCCCATTGACTATTCGATTAGTTAATTAATTGAAATGTAATTATCCCTAGCTCTTACTACATTTAAAATGCAGAGTTGCCGTGGGATTAGCTCCTGGGGGCGGCACCACTGCCTGGGGGAGCCCCGAGCACTGACTCTTGCTCCCTCCCCTTACTGCTTCTGCCACAGAGGCAGCCGGGGGTGGGGGAGCAAATAGTTGAATAATGACTTATTGTAGAAAGTAGGGATATTAGATAACACATACTTTAGTAATCATGTAGCAGTAACAATTTTTAGTGGTTATATGGTTACTAAAATACTCCCTGTGGGCGGGGCCGGCAGCTAGAGGCATCAGTGGAGTTGGTCTGCGAGGGGAATCAGTTTGAAAATTGACTGAGACAGAGGCAGCAGCATGGGGGCAGCAGCAGTCTCTGTTTGTGGCAGGACTGGGCTTACCATGGACAGAGGCTGCTTTTGTTCCTCCCCTTCCATTTCCCACCCCCCTGACAGGAGCTGCTGCTGTCCCTGTATCAGAGACAGTAATGCTGGAGTAAGGGGGAACAGTCAGGATGCCAGAGCAGCTCCTGTATGCGGGGAGCCCAAGATGGCATCCTGCCTGCTCCCCCCAACACCAATACAGAGGTAGCAGTGTGGGGAGGAGGCAGGCGGCTCCACAAGAGCTGGCACAAATGAAGAGCTGGCTTAACAGCAGGCTCCCCATGCATATGGGCTGCCACCTGACCCCCTCACCCTCTCACAGAGGCAGCAGCACGGGAGGCCAGTGCTTGAGCACCAGCTCTCACCTGCCCTCCGTGCTGCTACCTCTGTGGCAGGCAGTGGAGAAGGAGGGGCAGAGTGGGAGGAGGCATCTCTGTGCATCACCCTCTCACAGAGGCAGCAGCACGGGAGGCCAGTGCTTGAGCACCAGCTCTCACCTGCCCTCCGTGCTGCTACCTCTGTGGCAGGCAGTGGAGAAGGAGGGGCAGAGTGGGAGGAGGCATCTCTGTGAGTCATGAAAGCCAGCTCCCCGCAGGCACCAGCGTCCGCCTCCCCCTTGCTGCTTCTGATACAGAGGCAGCGGGGGGGGGGGGGGGATTAGCTCAAAATACAACTAGTGGTTAGAGGCATCCTAACGGCAATAGTTCAGGGTAGTCATTCAGCTTTGTGGTTGTAATTCGGTTAATTGCTTTGTTTGGCACTGAGTCGGTGTAAGTGTATTCATTGCTTGCAGAATGTGAATACTCTGCTGTTCTACTTCACACAATAATTTCTCTACTTGGAACCAGAATAGATCAGTACAGCTGAGTGAACAATGATGCTTGCATTCGCTGGCTGAATCGAAGGTGGGGGGGAATCAGTTTATTTTGAAATGAAATTTATTTTTTGTTGTTGTTTTGGTTTTTTTTCTCACTGAAATAAAAAACAGTTCCATTCAGGTTAAATGAAATATGTTGCATACTGTTTTGAAACATTTCCACCAGTTTTTCCCTAATTTTTTTTAGTCTGAATTATTTGCTGAATTTGATCCAAATTTGCAAGTAGCCTCATCCCAAAACAGCATTTTATTAGAGAATTTACCATTCATCTGAAAAATGTTGCCCCACTCAGTAGTTTAGTGCTGTTAAAGCACATTCTCAAAGTGACATCCAAAATGTGACTTAACTCCTTAAATGAGTATTGATAAAACACACAAGTATTTGGGGGTTTGTTTTTTTTTTTAAAAAAAACAAGCAGGCTCCGTATGTACGTAAAGGTCTGTCACTTATTAGTAATCCTGCTGTACCAGGATGACGTGTGGCTGTGTAATATAGAGGGCGAAAAGTGGGTAAGCAAGCAGATTTCAGACTTTAAAGAGTAGATGGTCCAATGGTTACGGTGGTAATCTAGGACTTGGGAGTCCTGAGGTTGAACTCCCTGCTGTGTCAGAGACTCCCTCAGGACATGTCTACGCAGCGGGGCAAAAGCTGATCTCAGCTACATCAAGTTGAAATAACTTAACTCGGGTTTTGGCGCTGTCTACACAGCAGGGTTATATGGTTACTAAAATACTCCCTGTGGGCGGGGCCGGCAGCTAGAGGCATCAGTGGAGTTGGTCTGCGAGGGGAATCAGTTTGAAAATTGACTGAGACAGAGGCAGCAGCCTGGGGGACTAA